TTTCTCTGCCTCTGTTTGTCTGTGTGTGTCTCTGTCTTTCTGTCTCTTGTCTGTCTGTCTGTCTGACTGTTTGTTTATCAGTCTGTCTCTGTCACACACACACAAATGTATATATATAAATATATATATATATATATATATATATATGTATATATATATATATATATATATATATATATATATATATATATATATATATATATATATATGTGTGTGTGTGTGTGTGTGTGTGTGTATATATATATACATATATATATATATATATATATATATAAGCATATATATATAAATATATATATATATATATATATATATATATATATATATATATATATATATATATATATATATATATATACATATATGCATATCACATATATACATATACACATATATATATATATATATATATATATATATATATATATATATATATATATATATATATATATATATATATACATATATACATATATATATATATATATATATATATATATATATATATATATATATATATATATATATATATATATATATATATATATATATATATATATATATATATATATATACATATATACATATATACATATATACATATATATACATATATATATATATATATATATATATATATATATATATATATATATATATATATATATATATATATATATATATGACTGCTGCGATAGCTCAGTGGTTAGCGCACTGGACTCCGACCCTCGTGGTCCCGGGTTCAATTCCCCGTCGCGGCAGTCGTAAAAATGCCTGCGCTCTGACTGCTTGCTCAAGCCCGAGAAAACGACATATCGCCTTGAGAAGGCAAAACGCAGGTGTCGTAGGGGAAGTCACCGCCGTGGCACAGGTGTTAACGCGCCGAACCGCGGTTGATTAGGAAGGGCGTTCAATCAGGCAAGGGTGACACTGCCATATAACCTCTCAATACTGAATTGAGAGAGGCCTATGTCCTGCAGTGGAATGAATGGCTGTTAAAAAAAAAAAAAAAAAAAAAAATATATATATATATATATATATACATATATATATATATATATATATATATATATATATATATATATATATATATATATATATATATATATATATATATATATATATGTATATATATATATATATATATATATATATATATATATATATATATATATATACATATATATATATATGTATATATGTATATATATATATATATATATATGTATATATATATATATATATATATATATATATATATATATATATATATATATATATATATATATATACACATATGTATATATATGTATATATGTATATATATATATATATTCAGTCATTCAGCAGTTGATGATGCTATGGATATACAGAAACTCGTCAAATGATAAACTGAATGACTACTTGGTGTTTGTATACATACATACACACTTAGACACACACACACACACACATATGTGTGTATGTGTGTGTGTGATCTTTTCTTTATATATATATATATATATATATATATATATATATATATATATATATATATATATATATATATATATATATAAACATACACACACACACATGTATGTGTATGTTTATATATATATATATATATATATAAATATATATATATATATATATATATATATATATATATATATATATATATATATATATATATATATATATATATTTATAAAAAGAAGAAATCACACAAACACATACACACATATGTGTGTGTGTGTGTCTGTGTGTGTATGTATGTATTTATGTATGTATATAAACACCAAGTAGTCATTCAGTTAACCATTTGATGAGTTTCTGTATATCCATAGCATCAACTGCTGATTTATTATCTCCGCGTGACCCCCAAACGTCCAGTCCGGTTACGGCAGCTGAAGGGTGATGGGCGAGAGAACGAGGAAGAACAATCCAGCATAAAGTGACCGCAAAATGTCACTATCGACACTATCACGTGGATCGGACAGTGCCAAGGCCTGTTGGAGAGCAATGACCACTATGAAGCGAAGGCTCAGACAAGCGCGAAATTGGCCGATAGTAGTTCGGAAGCCTGTCGCCTGCGGGTCCGGGGTGGGGGGGGGGGGGGGTGTGAGAGCGCTTGTACGGAAGCAAGATAAGGGATCAGGAGAGAATAAGGAGAAAGAGGAGAGGAACAGGAGAGATTGGGAGAGAGCTACCTTGATGCATTCACGGGTGGGAGAGAGGGAGAGAGGGAAAGAGGGAGAGAGAAAGAGAGGGAGAGAGGGAAAGAGGGAGAGAGAAAGAGAGGGAGAGAGAAAGAGAGGGAGAGAGAAAGAGAGGGAGAGAGAAAGAGAGAAAGAGAGAAAGAGAGAAAGAGAGGGAGAGAGAAAGAGAGAAAGAGAGAAAGAGAGAAAGAGAGAAAGTGAGAAAGAGAGAGAGAGAGAGAGAGAGAGAGAGAGAGAGAGAGAGAGAGAGAGAGAGAGAGAGAGAGAGAGAGAGAGAGAGAGAGAGAGAGAGAGAGAAA